CAAATTTGATGATTCGGTTCAATGTAAGGTTTTAAATGGGTAAGCCGGCTTACAGGAATTTATGATTTGTTTATATTAGGTCAGATTAGTTAAATATAATAGGCCTAGGCTTTTAAAAAAATTATTTAGGAAGCAGGTTATGAGCTTTTTTGTACATGTCGGACCTATAAGCCTACAGGTCAGCCTATATCATATTATTTATATTAAATAAAATTATTATTTTAATAATTTTAAATAATATAGTAATATTATTTTAATTATTGAATGTTTAATATGCTTAAACATACTAACAGGTCTAGGCAAATCAAAAGTTTTTATTTTTTAAATACATGTCAGACTAAATTTATATCTAGGCTTACATAGATTAAAAGACCAGGCCAATCATAAAAAATTTCATAGAGACTTGACCTATTTAAATTAAAATCTAACCTAATCTAGTTGACTTATACCCTTAGTTCTATGTAATGTTTTCATTTTCAAAATTGATCGAGAGAAGCTTTGTGCGTAATGAATTTTCAATATACTTAGATACAATTCTAAGTAGTTTCATAAATTTTAACAGAATCTCATTTATTTAATATTTTTATATTTATTTTTCTCTTTAAGTAACCTGAATGTAAACAATTGTTTTTTTTTTTTTTTTTCACGCTATGATCATTCTCTATCTGACTCCAGTCTTGTCTTCTTCCTCTAATGCCAACCCCACTCACTGCTGAAATCTCATAATGCTCCTCCCCAACCGTCCAATTCCTCAATCCAATTGCTAGAGAGAATTTCCACTCTTGATGAAGCATCATCTCTCACATATGGCCACCCTATATCACAATCAAACACTATAATGTTTATCTACATCGGGTAAAGTTAATAGAAAAATAAAAAAAAGCAGACATAGAACTAGGGGTGTACATGAATCGAACCGAATTGAATTTTTTGAAAAATCAAATCGAATTAGTTTAAATGATTCGGTTCAAAGTGATTCGGTTCGGTTCAAAACTGGTTCGGTTCGGTTTGGGTCGACCCTTTTTTGAAAAGAAAAAAATAAAAAAAATAAAAAATAAAATTATAAAAATCAATTTAGTTCGGTTTGAAAATGGTTCGGTTCGGTTCGAAAATTTTTGATTTTTAAACCGGTTCTAAAAATCAATTCGGTTTTTGAATTGATTCTTTAAAAATCGGTTCGGTTCATAAACTGATTTTTAAAAACTGATTATTCAAAGAGCAGTTCAGTTTAATTCATAATTCAATTCAGCTTTTTATTATTTTGTAGTCTTACATAAAACCTTATCTACCACAATTGACAACGTTAAGTCTGAAATTGCCGGCTCGTTGGTCCTTCATGTGTTTCGGATAAACATGTATCATGTGGAATGCATGTATGTTAATTTTAATTAATGACGAGTTTATAACTAACATGGTTTTTTTAATGATGTACTCATTAACAAAATGCTTGGGTATGTTTATCATTTAATGTTTTTAAATAAAATTCTAAGCATAAAATTAAATTAAGTAAAAATTATATAACAAAAAAAATAAAATTAAAACTATTATGTGATAGTAGTAATGAAATATATCCTCAAATAAATAGATAATTCATAAACTTATTCTACATATAGTTTAAAATTTAAAAAAAAATCAAAATATTATCTAATAATTTGTACAAAATATTATAAAGAGGTGATAAGGACAAGGTTGGGATAAATATGGTTAATTTTGATGTAATTCCATATTTTATATTTTAAATAACTGGGATAAAAAATACAATAAATCAATTTATTCACACACTCATAAGGGTGTAAACGTGGGGAGTCGAATCAAGCTTTGGTCTTAAAAAGTTAAACATGTGTTTAAATGTGTCAGTCTGACCTAAACTATTATCTATTATGAATATAATTATCGGCACGTGACATAACTTATTTATAAAAAACAAAAGTTTGATTTAGCCTGTTAAAAGAAAATAAGAAAACAAAAATTTATTCAAACATAATATACAATCAACAACACTAATAATATCACGAATATTCGTAAATTCAATGTATATCTAAACAACATAATATAAAATAAAATCTTTCAAAATGTCTGTTAACCAATAAAATGGGATGAAATAAGTTGAGGAGAGAAAAATGATTATTATGTATTATGAGTAGTATAAAAAAATATATATATATATATATACTAAGTCAACCTAAGATACTCTAAGACCGAACTAGGTTATTATTTATAATAGTACTAGTTGCTATACTAGGTGTATGATGTTGGATATCCAATAAAATTTTAAATCCTTCAATTATAAATATATGATTATAATAAAAATGTTACTCGAACATCATTATCTTATAGTCTCACATCAACTTAAAAAAAAATGAAAAGTCACACAATTTATACAATGTATATAATATTAAATTTTAGATTTTTAATAATAAAATGTAATTTAATTGGAGAGAAAAAAGAACTATTTTTTAAACAAAATTAATAAAATTTAGCCAATAGTTAGAGGCCTATGAGGGACTCAAAGACCGTGAGCGCAATGTGCTCGTTGTGCGGACTACTCTTATTGCGCAGATCAGACTCATTGCACAAGCTATCATACTAAGTCGTGAGACAAAACTTAAAGACTAAGGAAGAACATAGAGATTCTATAAAGTCCACCGCACATAAGAACCAATATAGATGAGACAGCTCAAGCTTGCCACTACTTTAAGCATCTAGACTTGTTCATCCAGGAATAACCTTGAAGGATACCAACTATGACAAGAGGGCAGCCACCTAAATCACTAATAAAAAAAAGATGCCGCCTATAAAGGACGACACAAGCATATTATAAATACAGAGGGTACAATCATGTCTCTTTGTTAAACAATATACACCTTGCATTGTTACTGACTTGAGCATCAGAGTGTCTTTGCATGTATCATCCCCAGTTTCTTTCATTGCGCCTAAGCTACAACACAAACATTTCAAGGAGAAGTCCATTCCACCATAGTATCAAACTGACTTGCTACAACCTAAAGGCCCACAATCTTCAACCTTCAACCGTATATAGTTTAGTCCATCCCAGTGGCGAACCCACTTGCGGGCAAATGCCCGCAAGTGCGGTCATAAAAAAATTTAATTCATTTTTTTCTTCATATTTTTGGTTGGTGTTTATTTGTCTCTTGGTTCAATATATATATATATATATATATATATATATATATTAAGAGTAAATACCCTTTTAAGTCCCTAACAAAAAATATGATTCTCATTTTAGTCTCTTGTAAAAAAAAAATTATTCTCGAGGTCCCTAAAAATTTTAAAGTTGATCAATTTAGTTAAAATTGTGGTCCCTCGTAAATTCAAAAAAGACCTACATTAGTCCCTCGAAAAGATCAAAATGAGCCCACTTTGAATTTCATATGGATCTGGTGACTAATTTTTTTATAATAGACTAAAGTGTGAAACAAATTTTTTGTTAGGGACCAAAAACGATACTTATTCTTATATTAGTTAGAAACGTAGCAACGTACGGAGATGATTAAAATAAGGTAGCAACGCAAATTGATTAGAAAGAAAACTTATTCTTTCTCCCCTGTCACGTACTCATTCTCATGCTCTCTTTATCCTTTGTTTCCTTTTTTCATTTTTATAAAAAGAGACGATTGATTACAAAAAAAAGGAGGCGCTGCCCCGAATCCCCACCATTAAATGTGCAGACATAAAATTTTTTTCCTAGCCCATCCTATCTTGGATGAGTTAGATAAGTGATCATATCATATAATAAAGATTATATCTTTCTCACTTTAATAAAATTAAACTGTGTTACTTAAAAACGAGAGATTATGCTAAAGTCAGTACACGTTTATTATTATAGTAGTGCTTAAGTGATATCAAGATTAGTTCAAATAATAATGAATTCATTTTCTTTAATTAAATATCCCGAGCTCGAGCTATGAAAATAAAAACATAAGAAAACTATCCCTGATATATATCCGTCTCGAATCGAACTTATCATGTTATTCTTTCCCTGATATATTTTCTTTAATGGATGAATTGATTAGAAAAAAGACAATATAGTCGTACGAGTAATTCTTTCCCCTAATATAACCTCGTGTTATATTAACTCTTTTTTTATTTGCGTTAACAAAAAAAAAAAAAAAGTCATTGCTACCTCTAGGAGGAGTGTGCGGGTAGTGGGCCCCTCTGGTGACATGGCGTATAGGTCAATGTGACGTCCAGCTGTTCATGATGATGGGTCGAGCTTCAAATTTAAAGTCTCCTTTTTCTAAATTCTCGCGGCCCGAGATTTTGCCCTGAGCTTATCCACTCCTACGTACCCACCAATAATAGACTTCCACGTTGGTGTTATTATCTAACGTGGACAATTCTAATACGGCACCGCTAAAATCTTACGGTGTTTTCCCTATACCGGAACATTACGGCTATTGTCGTGCCTGTCGGAGGTATAGGATATATGGGTCAAACCGTGACACGAATCTCTATGCTGGGTGTTGTCGATGAAGCGCGAACGACTCGCCACGTAGCATTTCGAGAGCTTCGGTGACCAATAGCGTATCGACAAGTGTCCTATCATAGCAACTTGACAGCTAATTTCAGACAAGGCCTCAAGTGGGTCCCAGTAACAGCATGTGGCTAACTTGCCAAAGGACAAAGGATAAGGTTTCAGTCCGGACTCTAAGCTATGATATGATGCTTCTCACATACTTGATGGTTGTACCACCGCATATCATTGATCAAAGTTAATTTGTTGACTCAAATCAACGGCAGAAAATTCATCACATTATTATCTCTCTCTCACTTGGTATGAAAAAAAGAAGAGAGAGTGTGTGTGTGTTTTTTTATAGTTGTTGACCTTTTTAAAACAGGGGAGCTACCAAAAATATCACACCGTTTCATGCTGTCTCAGCTCAGTGGAGAGAGACAACTTGTGGGGGGGCTAGCTAGCAATCGTGACCAGTGAGAAAGTTACAAAAGATAATATAAGGTTTAATTTTGTATTTGTGTTAAAATAAAATATATTATTTTTCCTTTTCCATATTCTTGATAACTATATGGATTAGTTTCTGTTTTTTTTTTTTTCTTTCTTTCTTTTCGTCAATGGTTTTTATTTGGATTCCTAAATTTCTACCAACCCAATCAAAATGAGAAATGGAATTGAAATCTCAACAAAGCAGGTAATTTTGTAAACTGTTGGCTAATTCGATTTGGGTTCTTGTTTTATTTGTTTTCTTTCACCTCTACTCTTTAAGCTCTCTGATTCTGACTTACAAGTTCAGTCCATTCAAGACAACAATCTCCAGTGGATTGTTTGGTTGCTGTTTCCTGTCTTAGCTGTTTCCCATCTGTTCTCTTTTTATCTTCTGGATTACAACTAGCTACATGCTTTCTCTATTCATTGCTTCCATCTACTTCTCCAACCTTATCTTCAAACAAGTTTTGCAGCTCCCACTTCTGAAGCCCTCTCTGGTTATGCTTATCACTGACCCACCTGCACCTCAAAGATAGTATTTTGTCGCCTAAAAACTCTTTTTTTTTTTTTTTTCTGCCATTTTATTTCTTTTAATTTTTGGATTTACTTGTCTTGGTTAAAGGGAGTTTAGGTACCTTGTTTGTCAGATGATAAGTGGTGGTTGGTCACTGGAACTTTTTTGTTAAGCGGATTTAGTGTTTGTAAGCGTTGTTTAACAAGTGTTGTGCTAGTTTGAGATTATAAGAATGGTGTCAAGGTCGTATTCAAATTTACTGGAGCTGGCCTCTGGTGAGTCTCCATCATTTGGGAACATGAACAGGCGAATTCCGCGGATTATGACTGTGGCTGGGTTGATATCTGATGTTGATGATGACCCTGACAAGAGTGTGTGCTCTGATCCCTCTTCTTCATCGGCCCAACGAGAAAGGATCATAATAGTGGGGAATCAGCTCCCTATAAGGGCTCAGAGGAAGCTAGATGGTAACAGGAATTGGTTTTTCAGTTGGGATGAAAATTCACTTCTGCTCCAACTCAAAGATGGATTTGGGGATGATGATATTGAGGTCATTTATGTTGGATGCCTTAAGGAAGAAGTGCATCCAAATGAGCAAGATGAGGTTTCACAGATACTACTTGAGTCCTTTAAATGTGTCCCAACTTTTCTCCCACCTGATCTGTTTACCAGGTACTATCATGGCTTTTGCAAGCAACAGTTATGGCCACTGTTTCATTACATGTTACCTCTGTCACCGGGCCTTGGTGGCAGGTTTAATAGGTCACTGTGGCAAGCTTATGTCTCAGTGAATAAGATATTTGCAGATAGGATTATGGAAGTCATTAACCCTGAAGATGATTATGTGTGGATACATGATTATCATCTGATGGTGTTACCAACTTTCCTGAGGAAGAGATTTAACCGAGTGAAACTTGGATTCTTCCTCCATAGCCCATTCCCTTCATCGGAAATATACAAGACATTGCCTATTAGGGAAGAGCTCTTGAGAGCCCTCTTGAATTCGGATTTGATTGGCTTCCACACTTTTGATTATGCAAGGCATTTTCTCTCCTGTTGTAGTAGGATGCTTGGTCTTACATATGAATCCAAACGGGGTTATATTGGGCTTGAGTATTATGGTAGAACCATTAGTATCAAAATTCTTCCCGTTGGCATAGACATGGGTCAGCTTCAATCAGTTCTAGACCTGCCAAAGACTGAAGAAAAAGTTTCTGAGCTCATTAGACAGTTTTCTGATCAAGGCAAGACAATGTTACTTGGGGTGGATGACATGGATATTTTTAAGGGCATAAGTTTGAAGCTATTGGCCATGGAGCAGCTTCTCATTCAGCACCCTGAATGTCTGGGAAAGGTTGTATTGGTCCAGATAGCTAATCCTGCCAGGGGACGAGGGAAAGACGTGAAGGAAGTGCAAACTGAGATGAAAGCAACCGTAAAACGGATTAATGAAACATTTGGGAAGCCTGGGTATGATCCTGTCATTCTGATTGAGGAGCCACTAAGCTTTTATGAGAGAGTTGCCTACTATGTTGTTGCTGAGTGTTGTCTAGTGACTGCAGTCAGGGATGGAATGAATCTCATACCATATGAATATATAATCAGTCGTCAAGGCAATGAAAAATTGGATAAAGTATTGGGACTAGCTTCCTCCCCAAAGAAAAGCATGTTAGTTGTCTCTGAGTTCATTGGCTGTTCCCCATCTTTAAGTGGAGCAATCAGAGTGAACCCATGGAATATTGATGCAGTAGCAGATGCAATGGACTCAGCCCTGGAAATGGCTGATTCAGAGAAACAGCTTAGGCATGAGAAGCATTACAGATATGTTAGTACTCATGATGTTGGGTACTGGGCTCGTAGCTTCTTGCAAGATTTGGAAAGGACTTGTAGTGATCATGTACGGCGAAGGTGGTGGGGAATTGGTTTTGGATTAAGTTTTAGAGTTGTAGCACTTGATCCAAACTTCAGGAAGCTCTCAATGGAGCACATAGTTTCAGCTTACAAACGGACGACGACTAGAGCTATCCTTCTAGATTATGATGATACACTGATGCCACAGGCTTCCATTGATAAGAGCCCATCCAGTAATTCTATTAAAATGCTTAATAGTTTGTGTAGAGATAAGAACAATACGGTATTTCTTGTCAGTGCCAGAAGCCGAAAGACACTTGCTGAATGGTTTTCTCCTTGTGAAAATCTGGGAATTGCTGCTGAGCATGGTTACTTTTTAAGGTAAATTTCTTCAGCTTATGACCTTTTCAAGATGTGGTATTTTTGTTAGGTTATAGCTTATGCCTGACATGTATGGTTTCAGACTGAAGGGAGATGCAGAATGGGAAACATGTGGACCTGCAATAGACTGTAGTTGGAAACAAATTGCAGAGCCTGTAATGAGGCTGTATACTGAAACAACTGATGGATCCACCATTGAAGATAAGGAGACAGTACTTGTTTGGTGCTATGAGGATGCAGATCCAGATTTTGGATCATGCCAAGCTAAGGAACTTCTTAATCATCTTGAAAGTGTGCTTGCAAATGAACCAGTAACAGTCAAGAGTGGCCAGAATATTGTGGAGGTTAAACCACAGGTGCGTATAACATTTGTGGAATGAGTTGTAAAGCCTAGAGATAAATTCGTTCTGTCTCTTGGATTTTAAACTTAGGTGATACAAGTCGTCAGTTATATTTTTTTTATCAACTAATTTCAGACTTAAAAATCTGGCAAGCCTGGGAAACTTTCGTTATATTAAGTAAAGTATGAAAATAGAATCCTTCACTTTGGTCAGATGGATCAATAAAGATGTGGTAGGGCAAAAATAAAGATCAGATGGAATCAGGTCAGTAGATTTTGGGTTTTAGTTAAAATCAAAGGAAACATGGATATCAAAGAGTGAAAAAATTGTTGACAGAAGAAAGTTTATAAGATAGTCCAATCCTGCATCGACTTAATCTAACTTAAGAATTATTCATGTGTTATGTGAAAGAATATGAAAGGAAACTAGGGGAAAAGCCCTTATAGAGAGTGCATTTATATTTAGAATGTTAAAAAGCAATATAGACACCACTTTTAAAGGTATTCTTGTTAATTTTTTACTTCTAATCTTCTTTCTCGTGGTGTTGGAGAAATGACAAGCTATTTTAACCATTTTACAGTTTACCTACAGCCTCTAATACATATATATACACATGCAGGGCGTGAGCAAGGGGCTTGTGGCCGAACGCCTACTTTCCACCATGCAAGGAAAGGAAATTTCACCTGATTTTGTTTTGTGTATAGGAGATGACCGGTCTGATGAAGATATGTTTGAGGTAATCACTAGTTCTATATCTGGTCCTTCCATGGCACCCAGGGCTGAAGTATTTGCATGCACTGTTGGTCAAAAGCCCAGTAAGGCTAAGTACTATCTGGATGATACTACTGAAATAGTGAGATTGGTGCAGGGTTTAGCCTGTGTTTCAGAGCAAACAGTTTTATTTTAGTCATGGGAAAGATGGTGGTGAAAGATGTGCTTGCTTTCTTTGTCACACTGTAGTATTGGGGGTGTTACACACAGTGTTGGCTTTGTTGAGCTCTCCATAGGTGATTTCATTATTATTATTTTTCGTGATATTCCATGTAAATGTAAATTATTCAACTCCTCAGATGTTTGTTTTCTATCTGATAAACTTGTATATATATTTGTCTTTCCACCATGAACCTTGCTTAATGCCCATGGGCCAGTCCCGAAGCTCTTAATGCCTATGATACTAGTTGTTTTGGATACTGGAGTGGCTCTTTTTATGTCAATGAAGCTTGTGAATTGTGATAATATCTGAATTTTGGAAACATCCTTACCAGATGATTTACTTAAGATTTGACACACTTGAAGAAAAGCAGAGGGGGAAGCACTTGTGCAAATGTTTGTACTCATGAACGCCAGTCCTACAAAACAATGGTTGCTAGCCAAATTAAACAATGAAGAGAAATGAGGGTACATAGTACAAATAGAGCCTTCCCTAAAGGCCTTATGACTCCTAATTAGTTATTGTAGTTCCTAGAACGCTACTCCACCTCATTGAAGGACGTGAGCCTTGCATAAATCCTCAACAAGGTTTGCTCAAGCATCAACTATTTTTTTGTGGGTTCCGAAGACCAGAAAACTAATCACCCTTTGAGAATGTTGCTTCACAATTATTACCCAGCCTTATTCTTTTTGTTTTCTAATCTCTAATGGCGTTTGAAATGTTTACTGACCAGAATGCTGCTTTCACAAAACTTCGCGCTTTGAATATAAATGGTCACACTTATCATTGTATACAAAGAAAAAATGCATAGAATGAAAAAAACTGAAATAGATATGCCAGTTACCCATTTAATTTGAACCCGCTAGATGTGTCTCACATAAAAACCTGCAAGTTACATCTCTTCGCTTTAATGTTTGAATTAAAGAAACAATATTAATACCCAAAACAAAAAAACAGAGATGCATCTTATATGGACTAGATCTATATCTTAACAACTTATCCAAATAAGGATAAGACTTATCCAAATAATATCTTAGATAACAAAGGATATAGGAATCACATTCCTATTAGGATTCTAAACTTATAGGTAACCCCTCTTATAAATAAAGGGTTGAAGCCTTTTAAGTACATATTTTTTAACCTAATTACTCTTTCTACTAACACTAAACACACACCAACAACTCGGCTATAAACTTATTGATTGTGCGCAATGATTGGTACATTAGCCTTGAGCCAATTGAATATCTCTCATAAATATTTCTGAATGTATATCTTTACACTAATCATGGTCTACTTAGGACCTATGAAGCACCGACACTTCAAAAATCCTAACGTGTCGTGTCCGACACTTCCCTATACTCTCGGACACTCTGACACTCCCCGACACTTCAACACGCGTTATAGAAATACAAAAAAAGGTTCAAAGGTTGATTTGCGTTAAGTTTTTTGTTCCAACTACTAGATTCGTTGGATTACGATTATCATTTTATTGAGTTTAATATAAATATTTGAGATATGTTATGTTTCTTTGCAAAATTTATGAATATTATAAGTTTAGATTCATTTTTTTTAAATTATTGAATATTAAATATAATATACACTACATAAATTAAAAATATTATTGAATATCAAAACGTGTCGAAATATAACATTTTTTAGAATTAACGTGTCGGAGTGTCACGTGTCCCGTGTCGGTATCGGTGCTACATAGCCTGGGACCAAACAAAAACCAACATAATTGAAAAGTATATTAACAATTTCAAAAAAAAAATAAAAAAAAATATATATATATATATATATATATATATATATATATATATATATATATATACGAAAAATTCAAAATTCAGTCACTGGACTGTCCAGTGAGTGAATTTTGACTATATTCTCTCGTGAGAATATAGTGCAAAAATATTACAATGGTGTTCTGCAGGTGTTCTCCCGGGAGAACATAGGCAAAAAATTTTGTGCACTATATTCTCGCGGGAGAATATAGTGCACTGGACCTAATTTACATCAAGTCACTTGATATTCACTAAACTCATATATATATATATATATATATATATATATATATATATATATATATATATATATATATATATATATATATAAGGTGCTCCATTTCGAAATATTAAAATCAGTTATCATTTCAGGCTTTTTTTTGTACACAATTTTAAGAGACATATTAACAGATGAGTTGTCAGTACGGAGAACCAAACTCAACCAAAAGAAAGGACGAGCAGAACAGAGCAAAAAACATCACTGTTCAACTAAATCTGCAGAGGTTGGTTTCCCTGCGCATTTGCAGATGGAACCACCCTTTGAAGAGCTTCTAGTAGAGATAATATATCAAATAGCAATCTACCAAAAAAAAATGTCAAATAGCAGTGTGCAACCAAAAGTGAGCACCATAGAGTATGAGGAAGGCTTCTTCCATAACCTAGAGAGACCCATATATCTCCGGATGAGATACCCTCCCTCAAGCAGCATGATACAGAACGATACCACATAGAGCTGGCAGCATCGGTACATGGAAGAACTAGCAAAACCATGAGCACTTTGGAAAGCATTTACGGGGATGCCCTCATGCAGATTAAGACAAGGGAGAAATTGGACTTTCTCAATGAAGGACTAGGATCAAGGAAATGCTCTGGAATCATCACAGTAATTAACATTATTAAAAAAAATCACAAAACACATTATCAGGAGCTTCAGAAAAATAATATAGGGATAGAAAATTTGAATTCAGTTTTTAATTTTTTGGTTGACAACAATACATAACGATTAAAAACAACTTGTTTTCCAGAACTTCTCAATTGTGCTGAGAAGTATAGACAAATAAGCTGCCTCATGGCTGTTCAAGGTCATGTTCTCAAGCTGGAAAAATCCAAATCCATAAGCTAGCAATTTGACAGAGTTCTAATTGCCATCAGCAGAATCCTGCTATCTCATGTGGATTTTCGCAGTGAGAAATTTATCCTTGTCAGCAAAATAAATAAATAAAAAAATCCTTATTTTGCAAATTAATTAAGAAGAACTAACAGGCAATTATATAATCTAAATATTTTGTTTCCCTTAATTGTCATATTATAAACATGGACTTGCTGACGTTCACATAACACAACATAAAAAGAGCAAAGCATAAATGTTGTACAATAACTACAGACAAAAGGATATTTGAAAAATGTTATGTAGTGTCCGGCAGAGAAGATTGATGTCCTTTAGCATCTGGAAGCAAAAATGGAAAAAACAAGAAAATCCCAGGTCATCTTTACAGACACCAAGAATCCATTTATGAATAGAAAGGATAATTAAGAAGAGTTAATAAACATATGATGACAAGACACTTGATAAGGCTACATGTTAACTTCCATCAGAGGCTACAAAAGTAATTGAATAGCATTATGCACTGATCATAAGCCTCAGTGCTCTTTTAATCTCTAAGAACTTATTCTTATTTCTTACTAAATTATAACCCAAAAAGTCCTAAACTCAAAATAATTCATGTTCATTGAGCTTTGAAGAATAATAGTTCCCTGCGATCTACAATGTTGATATATGGGTACAGAGAAAGACAACCGAAGTTGGCAAGATACACCAATCAGAACTCAAATGTGTATCTTTTACAACTGTTCATTAAGATTTTGTTGAATTATATAGGAGGTCAAATAGGTAATGAAAGACATAACACCCCATCAACAGGACCGTGCGCGGAACCCAACAGGAGGTTGCAAAAGTAACCAAACACTCCAAGTGCTGTTCATAAGGTAGTCACTCAGAACTCAATTCAAATGCTTGACATGAAATCGGACAATGTATAATCAGCATCCCAAGCCCTCTCTTCACCAAGCTATGAGCACAGAGACTCCATCTCCAAAAGGAATTTTTGATTAGATGACTTTCCTACAGCAGCGCAGCCAATTTCCTAACCCATTTCTTGGCCTGATTTTCAGAGTTTGTGCTTTCTACACTCATTCCAACTCTCGGTTTAGTATGCAGCCACAATGTCGGCATGCTTAGTTGCCACTGACAACCTGGTGGCTAGGTCTAAAAACATAGGATTTCGAGTATTGTTATTTCACCAATAATCTCCACATGAACAAGTCCCATTCTTGAAATGGTGAAACCGGCTATTATCTCTCACAACAATTTCTCTGCCAACAATCTTTGCAATAAATTTAATTGCAGTGTGACAGTCCACACACACCCGAATATTCTTTATTACACGGATGGTTGTACCAGCAGTAGTGCTAATGATGCCAAATGCTATAGCAAGTCTCTCACTGTGGGTGCTTAATAAATCACGTTTATGTTCCTCGTCAACATCATGGAGCACCTCACTTGTGTCAAGGACATAACCTTCTTTCTCCATCTGTTCCAATAAAATATATAATGCTTTGTTTATTTTGTCATAATATGGATGTGATTTATCTCCAGCCAGAAAAGTATGTACTTTGTTTCCAACCTCAATCCAGCTGCATGCTGGGGTCTTCTTCAAGCCCTTTTTCCTCATGTGGATTCTCAATTTTGCAGCATCATTCCATCTTCGGGCAGCAGAATAGATGTTTGACATTAAAACATAAGCACCCATGTTTTCAGGGTCAACCAAAAGTATCTTGTCAACAACCTTTTCAGCTAATTCAACATTCTTATGAGCCCTACAAGCAGCCAACAATGTTGACCACACACTTCCTGTTGGTTGTATTCCCATGTTAGAAATAAAGTCATAGGCTTCCTCCAATCTTCCAGCTCTACCAAGCAGATCCGCAACAGCAGCACAATGCTCCAGGCCAGGAGCAATACCAAAATCCCATTTCATGCTGTTAAAATACTTCCAACCTTCATCTACCAACCCAGCATGACTACAGGCAGTTAAAACAGCCATAAATGCCACATAGCAGGGCTCTACTCCATCCACTAGCATCTTCTCAAACAAGGAGACTGCATCAAGGGCATGCCCATGCATGGCACATCCCATAATGATGGCAGTCCATGATACCATGTCACGCATCTCTATTCTGTCAAAAACATATCTAGCCATCTTAATGTTACCACATTTGGCATACATGTCCACCAGAGAGCTCGCTATAAACTTGTTATCATCAAACCCAAGTCTAATTATATATCCATGGAGCTGCTTCCCCAAATTTAAGGCCGTCAAGTGAGCACAAGCTGGTATGACACTCGAGAAGGAAACATGCATTGGTTTGACTTTTTCCTTCAACATCTGACGAAAGAAGCTGAGCCCTCGATCAAATTTACCATTCTGCACGCAACCTGCGATGATAGAGTTCCATGAAATGGCATCTCGCTTAGGTAAGAGGTAAAATGCGCAAATTGAATGTTCTACTCGAGTACATTTTGCATACATGTCAATCAAGCTACTTCCAATGAAAACATCCACATCAAGCCCATGTCTGATAGCATACCCATGAATTTCCTTTCCTTTAATAATATCAACATGCTCAGCGAAAATGGGAAGAATGCTTGACAAAGTGAAGGAATCAGGCTTCAAGTTGGCATTCCCCATCTCCTTAACCATGGTTAATGCCTCTCCATACATCCCATTTTGAGCATTCCCGGCAATAACAGTGTTCCAGGAAACAACATCCCTTATTGGCATCAAATCAAAAACCTTCCTAACACTATCTATTTTCACAGTAGCCATTGTTTCCTCTCGTTGAGAAAATCCGTCGAGCATCTTGTTTGCAGAAACATAATTGTGAGAAATCTCAGCCAAACCGTGAAATTTCGAATACATATTCATCAATGCATTACCTGTATATAAATCAAAATCCAAACCAAGACGAATGATGCATCCATGGAGTGACAGACCAAAACGCAAGTCGTTTAAAAGCGTGGATGCTTTGAGAACAGAGGGGAAGACATGGCGATCAGGGTAAATGCCGAAAGCGCGCATGTCGTTAAAGGAAGACAAGGAATGATGGAAGAGGCCATGAGAAGTGTAGCATTTGATAATGGAAATCCAAGCAAGAGGTGGTGGTGGAGAAGAGTGAGAGTGAGAGTGAGAGTGAGAGTGAAGGGAACGGAAGAGAACAAGTGACTCATCTAAGAGTTTGAGGTTAGAGTAGAGTGAAAGTATGCACGCGTTGTCAGAGTCAAATGATCCTTTGGTCTTCACAATTTGTGCATGGAGTTGTTTCGCATGGTATGTCGAAACCATGCTATTTGGGTTTTTAAGAATACTTCTCATAACATTTTGTGTGGAACTCATTGATGGACTTCGGTTCTGTCACTAACCGAATTATGAATTTTGCTGTTTTCGCCTATTCTCTTCTTAACGCACAAAAAAAAAAAAAAAAAACAACTCCTCTCATCTGTTCCTGGAAGGAGTGCAAAGCCCGAAAAAAATACCCCTGCTTTTGTTCAGGGAAAAAAATACAAACTGGATTTAAAAATGAAAAATTGTCCACAAAAGAACTACTGAATTGAAAAAAAAAAAAAATTGTTTTAAAGGAAAATAAATAAAAGAAGAAAAATAAAACTTATATGAAAATGAGTAATAGAAGAATTTCAACCCTTTTAAAAAATGAAAAAAAATGTTAAATATGTATGCGTATTTATATTTTAAAAGTTATTAAAACTTGTCTTTTTAGTCTTCTTTTCTAATTCTGAAAATTAAGAGGATTTAATAATGCATATGGATTAATATTCACAGAAATTGCCTTAGGCAATTAATTGGATGATTTAGTAGATTTTTAAGAGAATTTAACATTTCACCTTTTCGTTTACTAGGAAATGATAGGTCAACCAGCTTACCGATCCGTTTAATTATTCGAGAAAATAAAAAAGTTATTAAAGCATGTGCATATTCTTTTCTATGCTAACAATGCTTGTAAATTGATTCTTAATGCGTTATTGAAAAGAGTACTATCAAATCATGTTACAATGATAAAAAAAAAAAAAAAAGATTGAACAATTTTTATTTAAAGAAAAAATGCGAGTGGTTTTGGTCTAATTTATTAGAGAGATATAGAACGTATGAATTCAAATCAATATTCTCTTCTTAGGAAAAAAAAATTAGTAATTAAAAGAGAAATTGTTCTCGTTAATCACCAACTTCATTTCACCCACGTCATCGTGGATGTCATGTCATATTTCTCAAATTGATTTCATGGACGTCATTGTGGATGCCATATTTCTTGCCATATTTATTATATATAAAGTCTCGCGAAAAATTTAAACTTGTATCACCAAGCCTCACTCTCTTGCTTTCAAGGACTCTTTCTGTGCCCTGAATTGAAATGGCTTCCACAACACCACCCACCATCACCACCACTATCATCAAAGAGATAGTTAGTGATATGGGTACTTTAATTCGGTTCTTCAATGATGGTACTCTGGAACGACCATTACAATCACCATTTGTGCCACCAATGCTTAATGAACCACAAACTGGACTCTCATCCAAAGACATTGTCATCTCACACAACCCCACAATTTCAGCTCGCCTTTACCTTCCAAACTTACCCAATTCCAAGGAACAATGTCAAGCTGAGAAAGTCCCAATCTTGGTCTACTTTCACGGTGGTGGTTTCCTCATTGAATCCCCTTTCTCCCAGTTATATCATGGTCATTTCAGAACCTTTGTTCCCCATGCAAACGTTATAGTGGTTTCTGTGGAGTATAGACTTGCACCAGAGCACTCACTCCCTGCATGTTATGATGATTGTTGGGCTGCACTCAAATGGGTATCTTCCCATTCTACCAAAAGCCCCAGCAACACAGAGTCATGGCTCGTTGACCATGGTGATTTCAATAGAATTTTCATAGGGGGTGATAGTGCTGGTGGTAATATTGCTCATAACATAGCCATGCGTGCGGGGACCGAGTCTTTACCAGGTGATGTTAAAATATTAGGTGCTATTTTATCTCACCCTTACTTTTACAGTTCAAGCCCAATTGGATCAGAACCCGTTACAGAGCATGAAAAGAACTTTTGTTACACAATTTGGGACTTGGTGTACCCATCTGCTCCTGGTGGGATTGATAACCACGTGGTGAATCCAGTGGGAGCAGGGGCACCTAGCTTGGGTGGACTTGGGTGTTGTAGAATTATTGTGTGTGTTGCTGGAAAGGATAGACTGAGGGATAGAGGGGTTTGGTATTATGAAGCTGTGAAGAAGAGTGGGTGGCAAGGGAAACTTGAACTGTTTGAAGAGAAAGATGAGGGTCATGTTTATCATTTGTTTGATCCAGATTGTGAGAATACCAATAAGTTTATCAAGCGTTTGGCTTCTTTTCTCCAGGAGTAGGGAATTGTTTTTTCTTGATTTGTTCTGTTGTAATAGTTTGCCACCAACAACAGTTGTGTGGTCTTAAATTTTTAATAAATGCGAATGTGTGTTGGTGTAACTTCTCGTTGCAATAATAAACAAAGTACAGTATTTTTTTTATTTTATTTTTTGCCTCTAACAAAAGTAAAATAAAATATGGGCCATACTTTCGTTTTTTATAAAAACAAACTTATATTAATTTTTTTTTAGGAACTAAATTAAATTTTTATTAAATTTTTGAGAATCATATTTTTAAAGAATTGGAATTGTAGAGAGATCAAAAATTAACTTTTTCTTTGTAAGGGAAGTGAAAACCGTATTTTTTTGTTAGGAACGAAAAGAAATTTTACTCAAAAAAATAAAAATAATTTTTTTTTTAAGAAAATTGGATGTTGTTATTGTATATGTTGCATTTATTTTCCTAGACATAATGCATATGAGATATTTGAAGTTGAACCAAGGGACCGATAACCATTCAATAGTCAATACACTTATTTTTAATAATGATAACAATACGTGGAAGACCACACACCAACGGGGACACTTACCACTTTCTGGGGCTTAAGAAGAGCATTTATTATGTTTCGGTACTAATATTTTATGGGTTTTGATTTTTTCATGTGGTAGGAGAAAATTTTCTCATGTCATAGACACATCTTATGTGGGACCCACATTTATTAAAAAATAAAAAAGCAAAAAAAATATTATACGAAAATCGAAGAATCGCTAGTAGAAGAAAATCACTCTCCTACGACATGAGAAAATATTTTCCCATATTTTTTTGGGTAATTACTTAGTTAAAGAGTAAAAATAAAAAAGAGAAAAAATAACAGGAGAAAAAAAAATTGGTATTATGAAAGGGAGCATCAAATAAAATAATTGGGTGGTCTTGATCATAGAAAATATTTCCAGGCTTAAAGGTGAAAGCAGGATTTGATCACATGTCCTTATAATCAAAACACAAAACACTTTCACCAAAAAAATAAAAAGTGATTTGAAAGAAATATGCAAAACACTTTTTTTGTGTGTGTGGCATTTGCAAATCACTAGCACTTTATTATTTTTTTATGTTTTGTTATTAATTAGAAGAGGTAGGATATTAGTACTACCACTTTTTTCTACTACACTATCACTTTAATTACCATTGGATTCAAAAGTTATTTTTTTTCTTTCTTCATTCAACTTTTTCTCTAATTCAATGATAATTAAAGTGGTAATAAAAAAATGGATAGTAAAAATATCCTAACTCTAATTAGAATATACAAACATATTGAAAACCAACATATGCTTATAAAAATATTTAAAGTAAATAAATTAAAATTAATTATTATGGACATCAAATTATCAATAAGAGTCATCAAAAACTATTTAGACGTTAGTCTACCTAAAAACATTTATTTTGATAACTTCTAAATTACAACCAAGTTTAGTTTTTAAATCTAAATTTTATTCATACATTAATAAACTAAATTAGAAAACAAAAATCAAATGCAGTAGTATTGAATATAGTTTTGGAAAAAAAAAAGAAAACTCAAAATATAAACCTAATAAAATGCCTCTCTTTTTTTTATATAAGTTAGATTTCATTATATTAAAGTGGATCACCTATAATCATTTATAAGACTGTTATTCATGAAACATTTAGAATCATGACACCTTTTTTAATAAATTAGAAATGAAAATTAATGGAAAAAAGAAACGAGAAAATAATTTATTTTATTTTCAATTGCTTAGTAATAATATTTTTATTATTATTATTATACATTTTTAATTTATATTGGTAAATGTTTAATTGTTAAATAAATAAGTAAATTTATAGAAGATTATAAATTTTTAGAAAAATATAATATTCTCACATCCTTTAAATTGTTGAGATATAGTACCCAAAAATAACATAAAAGAGATAAAGCATTAATCTCAATAAAATATATGTACTGCCTTTTATTTGTAGGAATAAAATAAATACACGAATAAATTATAAATTATTTAAATATTTTTCAAATTTTATATTACAAAATAAGTTAACTTGGAAAAAAATTCATAAGATTATATATCTTTGAAATATTTGGATAAATTACACTTCTAAAGAAACTTATATTTTCCTTAACTTTTTTTTTTTTAAATACACTTTGTTCTTATGTTTGAAAATATGTTGCATTTTGTCCGCTTTAATGTAAAAGTACTTTCAAATTGTGGTGAACAATTATGAATGTCTGAAGGCTATATTTTCTCTTGTAGTGACTGCTAGTATCACTATCATCGATAGCTAAATTTGAACATTCATACTATTTGTAAGTTTATCAATTCGGAAAAATCAGTGTTTTAAAATCTCGCCTTACCCCCGAGTCAACTCGGGTCAATCCTAACCTCCTATCTTTGAGAGTTGGGATCATCAGTTGGACCCTGCATGGTTGACCCTTGAAACTCAGCTGGGTCTCGGTGACTCCTAGGTCAAAGGGGTCACTGCATCTGTAACAAATCATCTCAGGCTTATTCCAAGGAATGGGGAGGATAGATTAGTTTGGATCAATAATCATTACTCAACTTCTTTGGTTAAGGTCGCTTACTGTAATCTTATGAACTTCCCAGCAGATGTTCACACTAGCTTATGGAAAAAAGTTTGGTCGTGGAATGGACCAGAACGAGTGAAAGTGTTTATGTGGATGACTTTGCTTGCTAAACTTTCAGTGCTCAGCAGAACCAGTAAGTGGAGCGGAGGTTCAAATGTCTGTCCCAGTTGTCCAAATCATGAGGAAACTATTATTCATGTTCTTCGTGATTGTAGACATGCTAGGAAAATTTGGCAATCTTGGTTTACAGGTTCGATACCCAATTCCTTTATGAATTCGAATTTGCAGGATTGGTTGACTTTAAATATCGATAACATGTGGTCCTCCAATAAAGTGAAGGACTGGAGGGATATTTTCTTTACTACTTGTTGGTTTTTGTGGAAGTGGAGAAATTTGGAGATCCATGAAGATCATTTCTGTCATGATGAGCAATCCCAGGCTTCAATTTGGATGTTTGTCCAACAGATTCTGCAAGCCCGAATTTATCAGCGCCGTGGTGATTCCAACGATAGCGTTTGGACAGCCCCCAAGCAAGGGTGGGTTAAGTTGAATTGTGATGGAGCTTCTTCTAGTGGCATGAAAAAAGCTAGTTGTGGTGGTATATTAAGAGATCACAATGGATCCTTTTTGGGAAGCTTCTATTGTAATTTAGGTTCCTGCAATCCTCTTGATGCAGAATTATGGGGATTACTGAAAGGTTTGGAACTGCTTTGGGGAACAGGATTAAAAAGAATAGAGCTAGAATGTGATTCTAGCCAAGCCATCCAGATGTTAAAGGAGCAGCATGAAGATCCTAGGGACTCTCAAGTCACTAGCAGATTGAGATTATGGTTAAAAGCAGATTGGACTATTCATCTTGTTCATACCAAGAGGGAAAACAACAAATGTGCTCATTGGTTAGCTAAAGCTGGGCAGACTAATAATCTCCATTTCAAGATTTTTAAAGATCCTCCTCCTCAGTTGATGGAACTTATAGTTGCTGATGCTAGAAATATGTCTAGCTTGTTAGTTTCTGATTTGTAATTTCTTTCTGTTTCTGGGGCTTAGCCCCTCTTTATTTACAAAAAAAAAAAGGGGTCACTGCATCTATTTTTTTTTTTTTTTAATTTTCACACAAAACAACGTCTAAACAAAAAATCACTGCTAACCTCAATACCAGATATCTTAACTTCGGTGGTTCCTCTTTCTCTCCTCCGCCGAGGTGGTTCCTCCTCCGGGATTCCTCCTCTTCGGTCTTCCCACGCCGTCGCGCCGCCGCCTCTCCTCTGTTGTGGTTGTTTTCTCTTCATTAATCCATTCTTTTTCTTTGTTGGTTTTTCTGCTTTGAGCATGTCTGATATTATTGTATTACTGAACAGTAGGGTTTAAAGCTTTTTCTGACCGTGATGTATTTATTCTCATATCAAGAAGACAGTAGATAAAAAAGGATGCAGACTAAGACTTTTAAATTGTATCGCAACAATACTGAATTGAAAATTGATAAGGAAGCCCTGAGTTTGATGATATAACTTTTCAGTAACTTTATTAGAATATGTGTTTTATCCTTTGATATTTTAATACTTTGATTAGCTTGTGTAATATTGACTTGGGGACGTAATTTGTTGAATTATGTTAAGTATATTTTGAATCTTTGATGACTGGTGGTTTGATTTTTTTGAAATTTTCATATAGGATATATATCTATATTTTTTTAATATATAAAATCATATCAGCGAAGTGACCCCGTGATCCCCTGATTGAATCTGAATCTGTGACCCTGTGACCTCTGACCTCGGCCGAGTCGATGGCTGGGTCGAGTTTTTAAGCACTAGGAAAAAATACACACGAATTAATTTAATTCAAATAGAACATTTGGTGAATTAAGTGGATACAATGAGATCTCTTCTCTGTTGTGCAGGATGATATTCTTGGGATTGGATCTTCAATGCTATTGTTGCATATATTGGCTGGAAGGGATAGGCACCTGCAAGACATTTTGATGCACAAGTTGTTTTATAGGCTTTTTGACCCTTATAACTCTTTATTAATAATTAATTACCAAATTGACCTTCATTATAAACTATTTCGAAAATTAACCTCCTCAAAAACATAACACTAATCTACCCCTGTTTGGCTGATGACCACCAAGCCTCTCCAGGTATATTTTGAAATTTTATGCCTACCCGGGTAGGGATGGGTGTACCCGAGTATATTTCTTGAGATCTGGGAAATTGCTTGAATTATTTACCCAGGTAGGGAGAGGTGTACCCGAGTAAATCTCGACCACAAGCCTTTGAAATCAAACCCTGCAAAGAAACTCAACCACACTGCAATGGGCATTCCCACTAGGTAGAAGCAACCAAGATTTATACGTGCTCCCAACCTTGGCCTCGCTGTGCCCCTCAAAACGCCACAAACAATTGTTTGTGG